TTTGTGTTCTTCAAGTTTATCTCTCTTGAATGAATGTTTAGGGAAACCTAGGATTTGTTAAATTGAGTGATGCAATTGCTTGGGTTTGATTGCTAGAGTTTAATGAATGGTGTTTAATGCTTCTCATTGGATGAAAATCTTATGGGTAGAATTTAAGACTTCTCTAATGCATTATCTGCATTCTCCATACCCTTCTCCTCCTCTACATCCTTCTCTGCACCCTTCTCTTCCTCACCTTTCTCTGATGCATCCTCCACACCCCTCTCAGATTTATCCTCTGCATCCTCTGCATCCTCTGCATTTTTCTCCTCTTTCTTTGATGCATCCTCCACACCGCTGTCAGATTTATCCTCTGCATTCTCTTTATTGGTCTCTGATGCATCCTCCACACCTTTCTCTGATGCATCATCTGCATCCTTCTTTGATGCATCCTCCTTAGGAGGTAGGTCTCCAGTATCATCGACATGCTCAACATCAATCTCGATATGCCTTGGAGGAGTAGCAGAAATCCCTTCTTCATCATCCTCAAATAAGTCCGACGGTATGACCAATTTAGAATGGTCAGACCAGTTATACTTATGTAGGTAGATGAGTCTGACCAAATAAGTCCGACGGTGTGACCAATTTAGAATGGTTAGACCAGTTATACTTATTTGAATATAGGATTGAGTTATATTATTTTAATTGATCTTTTGCAGATTCACATGAGCAAGAAGCTGATAATGAAAAGATTTGTGGCACTCCGAATAATTCTGATGGTGATATGGAGGATGATGAAGAAGGGATTTCTGCTACTCCTCCAAGGCATATCGAGATTGATGTTGAGCATGTCGATGATACTGGAGACCTACCTCCTAAGGAGGATGCATCAAAGAAGGATGCAGATGATGCATCAGAGAAAGGTGTGGAGGACATAAGTATAACTGGTCTGACCATTCTAAATTGGTCATACCGTCGGACTTATTTGGTCAGACTCATCAACCCACATAAGTATAACTGGTCTGACCATTCTAAATTGGTCCAACTAGTTAGACTTATATGGAGTCATGTCTGACGAAAAAAGAAAGTAAAATTTAAGTGTGAACATACCTTGCTCGGGTGGTGAGAAAATCTCATTTGGCTGGAAAGCACGATGTTTGAATAGGAAGTCAATATTCCTGTTGTACGATCTCCCCACTGAAGCATCACGTGGTGAAGAACTCTCACTTTTGTCAGACCAGTTCAATACTTCCACACTAACGCCTGCCCTCTTCAAAATTCTTTCCACCTTTGCAATTATTCTTTTTTCAACATTTTCGGCAATCTTTTCTTCAGAAGCTTTTATTGCCTCCTCCAACATCCTTTCAAAACCAATCGGTATTCGTTCTTGCCTTTCTTCTTCCTCTTTTCTAACTTCTTCTTCCTCTTCTTCTTCTTCCCCTCCTTCTTTTTCTTCCTCTTCTCTTTCTTCTTGAATCTTTCCCTTGCCTTTTTTCTTCCTCTCTGCTCTATTCCCAGAGCCCCTGGCACTGACATCGAGCGCAAGAATTTTCTGGAAACAAATACTTGTCGGATCTTCGTTCAACCGTTGCATCCAACTCTGCACAACTGGATGACTGCTTGGCTCAGCATACACATTCAAAAGAATATGTTCTTCATTGTTGTCTATTTGAAGAACACTTCGAAATCCCTGCAAAAAATGGTTCGTGTGAGTACATTATGATAGGTATGACCAATTACAAATTGGTCATACTAATCACAAACTGGTCCAACCAATTCAATTGGTCCAACCAATTCAATTGGTCAGACCAATTCAATTGGTCAGACCAATTCAATTGGTCCGACCAATCCAACTGGTGACACTACAAAAGAAATGACCAAATTAATACGTACCTTTGAGGTATCGCCAATCTGTTTATACACCTTTGCATATGTCATAAAAAGATCCGGTTTGATGCGTTTCTTGCACATCCTAGGACAAGTCGGATCGGCACCTTCAACATCGATATACCATCCATTTGCGCCTAAACTTTCGATGCATTCGAAAGGAAGAAACTGCAATATACAAACCAATTCATTATATCCCTCAATAAATATACTCAAATACTAATTTACATTACAAACATTAGTACAAAATATAACTCACCATAAGTGGTATTACGAATCCTGGACAATGCCAATTGTCCTTCGGTTTAGGGCCGCTATTATACAATTTCCGAATCTGATCGCTAATCTTATCGAAGGTGTATCTTCCCCACGGAAACCCTTCACAGAAGTCCAGACTTTCGACCATGTCCACTAAATCATTGTTTATGACATCATTGCTCTTGGCACTATGAGCTAAAACTCCGCCTAGCAATACAATTATCGCTAATCTCTTTCTTTCCTCCACATTTGCATGTGGAGTTTCGCGCAACTTCTTTAATGCGGCTTCTATGGTCACTTTTGAAGTTCCGAATGTTTTTTTCCGATATTCGCTTCCCTTACGTTTAGTCCAGCCCTCCGAATAGTTGTCACAGTTTAAGCCGGAGATAATGGCATGTTCCTGGATTGAGTATCTGATGGGCACGCCATTTACAACAAACCAAAACTCTTTTTCCTCTCCTTCCAACCTTAATGCACGGTGTATAAGAATAGACACTGGCACCATCTTCAATGTCTCTTCACATTTCGTATGAAAAATGTGACGAAATTGAGACTCTGTATTGAAATATGTCAATTCTTCGCTTGTTAAAGCCTTTCTTAGAGATCTTGTGATCTGAAATACATAACACTTCGTCGAGATCTTGGGACTATGTTGAATATCCTTGAAATTATACACAAAAGGGACCTGCAACAATTAGATTAACTCTCATGATCAGTTTTATTATATTACATTGACAAGACAAGCTATGATGACTATAAATGTGGTCATACCAGTGAAGTATGACCACTTCATGGGTCTGACATTTAACCAATATGACCACTTCGCTCGTCTGACCACATCACGGGTCTGACCACATCACGGGTCTGACCATTTCACTTCACTGGTCTGCCCACTTCACGGGTCTGACCATTTCACGAGTCTGACCATTTCACGGGTCTGACCATTTCACGGGTCTGACCATTTCATGGGTCTGACCACTTCACTGGTCTGTCCACTTCACAGTCTGACCATTTCACTGGTCTGACCATTTCATTGGTCTACCCATTTCATGGGTCTTACTAATTCGAGTAATATAACCGTCTGACCAAAAAATTCAACTCTCATTGACTCGTCTTTCTGAAAATCTCCATCTTTTACCTAAAACCCTAATTTCTAACCCAAACGACTCGAACATTAGAGCTTAAACCCGAAACAAACACATAAACACAAAGACAAAGAGAGGATGAACGACGCAATCAGTTTTTTCGGCGAGTATACAGTACCTGTAGATCTTCTGAAGTAGAAATCGAAGCAGTAACCGAAAGAGAAGCCGAAGACGAAGTCATTTGTGCCGACAGAAGACGATTTTGTAAGAAGAAACCGACAGATTTACTCGCGATTGAAGAAAGAAACAGGAGGAGAGGAGAAAACGTTCGTCACGAAACCGTTCGTGTTTGTTTGTTTAAAATTTTGGAAACACAGAGTTGTCGTTTCGTGTTTTCCAGTGAGTTGCCACGTATTCAATATTTTATGGGCAAATTAGTCTTTTCGTTATTTTAGGTTTTTTTTTTAAAACCCTAAACCTAGAGGGTCATGGCGTGAAGTACAAATCGACAAGTTGGGTTATTTTTGCAATTTTCCCCCACAAAGACCACCGAGGTTGTGGGGCCATGGACATATTATCACCCCTACACTCGAAGGCACTGCCTATAATGTTCCCATTTTATTCATATTTCTATTTTTTTGATGGTTAACACTTGATTTCATAACGCCTAATGATCTATACGATGCCGTCATACACTTGACTGTTCTTATATAGAAATTCTAACTCTGTAGCCAAATCCCAGCCGCCGGACGACTTTCTTTTTTTCTTCCAAAGATGACTTTAGTAAAAAAAAAAAACTACAACAAATACCCAAAACAAATCCTCAACAAGGGTAAGGGTTCACGGAAGGGGGAAAAAATAATCAGAGTAGGGAGAGTGAAGATGGGTTCCAAAAAATCTAATTTCGTCTCATAGGAGGAGGAGGAGGCCCTCGATGTCCATCTCCACGAACGAGCAAGGATCCGAAATATCAAAATTGTTCAGCACCTGCTCCCGACACACATACATACGGTTACATGTTACGGAATGGAGATATTGGAAGGAAAAAATTGTAGCGACTGGTAATAATATATATACCTCAGGGTGAACGATTCCAAAGTTGCCAATGTGTTTCCCTTTGAAGACGATGCTCGCTTGTCTCCCGGCCAAATACTCGGGTTCCTTTTTTTTTTTGAGAGTTTTAAGACAACACATTTTATTTTTCTCAAACTTTTGGTCAAGAATAAAAAAAAAAAGAGATATGGTAAGGGAACTCACTTCTGAGCGCTTTATGTAGTATCCGGTGTTGTCTCCGACGGGCACAAACGGTGTCGCCATTACTTCCATGATTCTGTCTACCAGGCAATGTATGAGCTGAGAATAAGAAAACAAAGGCCGAAACTTTCCCTTCAGATCGTCTTATTTTTCAGATGGCAACGTCGGAAACAAAAAGGGGGACGCGGAAAAATCATGCCTCGAAACCAGACGTAGCACCGCAGTGTAGAGCGGCGAGGTGACGGCGGTTGCATGCGCCCACATCCTTTTTCTCATCCAACAAGGCTATATCTCCTACTTCGAAAATCTTGGAACAGCATACATATTTGATCACACGTGAGAACAGAAGTTTCAGACATTCCACGGGAAGGAACGCAACTTTGTAAACCTGAACCGATGGAACACTGAGTGATTAGGTTATGTGTCTACCTTAATAGGCTTTGGATGGTCTTTGTTGATTCCAACTGTCTTTAGAATTCCTGGCATGAGACTCGTTCGGACAACCTACACCATAGAAAGACAAAAGACAATTTCTCAGCAACAACAAAAGCACTTGCGCGGAATCGGTTTACGAGGAAGAAGGAAGAGACAGTGACAATCTCTCATTGGAAAAGATAACTGGGAGCAAATATGTCAGATTCTTTTTTGCAGAGGAGCAGGGAAAGTGATTGAACATTACCTCAAAATCGGCAGATCGTGGATTTCCAATGATAACAGCAGAGCCATCATCTTTTCTGTTTAGCATCGCAAAATTTTCTTTGTGGGAGCACAAAATCCACATCAACACCTCAGTGTACCCATTCATTGCAATCTAAAATAACAAAGAATTGAATTTATAACTATAACCTTGAGGGGGACAAATGTACCTGCCACAAAGACAGGCACAGATGCGGAATTGAAGAAATACAAAACCATATGGAATCTAAGGTACCTCTGCCCTAATAAGATCACTGATCTCATTCAAAGGCAACGGATTTATCGAAGTAGGCTTTCTTTTCGGGATGTTATTGTATCCATAAGCAATGGCGACATCCTTCGAAACAAAACAAACCAAGCAATTAAAAACCTGATACAGAATAACCGCAACGGAACCAACAGTTAAAATCCTTGCCTATTGCAGAATACCTCCATAACATCACAAGGGTGGAGCACATCACTTCTGGTTGGGGGTACATGCACATTAATGGTGTTTTGGCTATCACTAGATTTTGAAAGTTCAGCATGCAATTGCATACGGTTCAACAAACCTGTGACCTGGAGGGTAGAAAAGTCATATAAAAACTTATACAAAAATTTACCAAAGGAAATACTGAATAACCTGCACAACTGGACAATGATGATGCTAATGTTACCTCTTCTGCCTCCAAAGACACTCCAATTAAGTCTGTAATATAAGAGAGAGGAACTTCCATGTCGTAGACTGATAAATCAGGATAAATGTATGATTTTCCATCATCATATATAACTTCAACGGGTTCGATCTCGAATTTTGTCTTGCAATATTCTGAAAAGGTGGTAACCTGGAAAGTACAGCAAGTGTTGATTAGTAAAAAAGCTAATCACTTGGGCACAAGAGTTCTGTTTTCTTTACTACATACCATTGTATTCAGAACAATCTTGGCCTTTGTCAAATCAGTTGCTGTACACTCAATGAAGACATTCTTTGTCTGAAGAGTGATCGCTGAATGAGCACCATTGATGATAGGGGGCAACGACAGTACGGTCCTGCAAAAACGAGGATGGAAAGTAACCACAGTAAAATAATTAACCGCAATGTGTAGAGCATGAAGCTGAGATTTAAATAGTGGCATTGGAAGAGCCCAAAAATACCTTTTACTATCATACAGAACAGGGAAGACGGGTGAGTTCTCAATTATGTGTAGATATTTTTTCAACTTGAGATCTGACTGCAAAATACGTAAAGAATAATGCACGTTGAAGCAAATGTTAATTACAAGATTGCAAAAGCAATATACATGATTACTCTGTAAGTCCTTTTTATGATACTTAGTCTACCAAGTTTCCAAGAAACATTTCCATGACATTTCGATTAAAAAAAAAGCAACTTTCCAGCTTAAGACATCGAGACCTTTTTTCAATTTATTGGAGATAAAAAAAAACCTTCTACACTCATTCATGACCCACCTTGTAAAATTCCATCAGTTCGTCAGCCCTGAAGCTCTTTGTCTGCCCAAACAACAAAACGGCATTAGGTATGTACACAAAATAACTATGAATTAAATACTAGAAAAAACAACAAAGGTAGCAGGACGTCCTATATTGATTGTTTCTTAAGAGAATAAGAGAATCATAGGTATTCAACGGGACAATCAAACACCTGACACATGAATAAGGAATGCTAGTTGAAAAAGGAGATCAACTTACTTGCTTCAGGGGCATAAAATTTATATCTGCTGGCGGCAAAGCCTGAGACAAAGAGAAACAGCAAAGGACACGTATCAATGACAAACATATGCTCATGTAAGAGAAAGTGTCAGGTAAGTCGGAAACAAATGACAAGTAATGATAAACATTCTAGCTAGTGCAGTGAGACCAAAAACAAATTAGCATACAACAACCAAAAAAATATGAAAAGCGAGAGCAGAAGGATAAGAACAATAGTAAAATAGACTCACCTCATACGTGAATGGGCCCTGCAATGTATCCAAGTCATGAGTTCCTATAGCAACCAGTGTTCTTCGCCTGAAATAAGCAGTTAAAAAATATCAACCATTTGCAAAATGACAAAGAAACCTTTCCTACAGCTACACATGTAAGACAAATGCTTTGTGGAGAAAACATCCACCGAAAGAAGATAAGAGAAAATGCAGGAACTTAATGATACTACAATCCAAAGTGATAAAAGGTGCAATGATGGGGTGATGCAAGAAAGGAACGTGGATTGTATGGAAATAGTCATGTTGTTCTACCGGCAAATATTCTGATGCAGCTTGTCCTGAAGATCAATAAAGCTGTTGTAACGAGCCTCGTCAAAGGTTACGCCTCTCAAAACAGCACAGACAACAAAAGGTCGTATCTGAGATGTCTGCAAAAGGAAAGTAGAGGTTAACCGACACAGCAACTAAAATTAAAACCAAGTAGGAAGAAAATGAAGAATGCTTATTTAGATGCCCAAGATAAACACCTCTGGCTTGACACGCATTTTAAGCATCTGGTCCTTGCCAACATTAGCAAACCTGTAAGTAGGTATCTCTTGTTTCCCGTTGAAAACGCGAAGGGCTTGTGCAAGCCCTTCGAGACAGAGCAAATCGTATCTGCCATAATACACGAACAAATACTAAATCAGATCACAAAATCCCTTGCCTTCCTTAAAACTACAACCCAGCTGCTACTGACATTAACAAGACAAATCTCATCCCACCAGACTGGTAAGGTAAACCCAAAGAAAATTTCATGGAGACCCGAAAACCACAAAGAAGCCATCAAGAACATTTCAATTATATCCTAAATCATTTTGAAAGTTCACCTGTTAGCAGGCACTTCAATCTTGTAGATGGTTTCTTCATCATCATCAGCTTCTTCTTCAAGGTGCTTCTCTTTCCTGATTATTGCCTTCTCGGTCGTCTGGCCATTATACATACACGCACAACTATATCAAAAACAAACAAGAACCAGTGATACATTGATGAGCATATAACAAAATAAGCCAAAATCCACTCACCACATCATCGAGCTCAATCCCAAAACGGAAACATAGATCCTCAAACTCTTCTTGCGCTGGAATTGAACGAGAATGAGACAAAAAAGAAAAACGAAAGATTGCGATTCAAAGACGACAAGGAAACAAACAATTAGGTTAAAGAAGGAAGAGATTACTGTAAGATTGTCCAAGGGCAGCGAACAAGCGGTCTCTGCCAACGCTGACGGTAGGCATCGTCGGATTGGTCTACAGATGCAGTGACTGGAAGACAGACAAATGCTTAAGTTACTTTGGCTGAATTGCCCAAAATTCCGGCTGACATATTAGGATCCAATAAATTTTCCATGTTTAAAGAAATATTTGAGAGATGATCCACGGTTTCAATTGCACAAATTCGCGCATGAAAGAAACATAGTCCATGGCTACAATGCAAAAAAAAAAAAATCAAGATACAATCCAAACAACAAAAACAAAAACCCGTGCTTGATTTTAAAAAGCACTAAGTTGCGTAAGAGGGAGATGCGAGGAGATATTGAAGAAAAAATACCATATGAACATTCCCTATAACAAAATCATGCTGAGAGAAACAATGGTGAACAGCCTCGCTGCCAGAATGAAAAACCCAGACAAAAGAACATAGAAAAGAGTGAAATGAAGCTAGGTTAAAAACCCTAATGAACCCTAATTCCCGATTGAAACCAAGCAGAAGCGAGAGCGAAATTATAATTAAAAAAAAAACAAAATCTAGGCACAACAAAAGGAACAGAACCTGATCTCCGACACCAAATCCAAGGAACAAGAACAAGAAAGAGAATAATCGAGGGAGGAGAACTTTGAGTTGAAAGAAATCTGACGAGTGAGTTTGCAAATATATGGGTTTTATTTGGGCCCATTTTATAAATAATGGGCTGATTCCACTTAAAGCCCATATAATTAATTCGCTACCTATTAAATTTGGTTTTAATTAATTCTCCGGAATGCCACGTGTCCCACATGATGATTTGGAATTCTGTAGAATTTTAGGGTTGAATGCTATACAGACATATGCTCTAGTTTTTTTTTTTTACAGTCAGATATCTACAGTAAAAAAAGATGATATATATACGAATAAATATCTTCTTACATCAAAAGTGTATACAGTTGCAGAGACAAACCCAAAACCTGTCTATTATACAAAAATAAAAAATCTCAACCTAAAACAAAGATTCCTCAAGAACAACAGAGCATGACCAAACCTTGTTGTGTCAGCTGTGTTCTTCATCTAATTCACGACTCTCTCTCAATGCAGATTAAACTGCATTTTTTTAATGCTTATTTTGATTTCCTCATCGTCAAAGGAGACCCTTTATAAGTAAGCAACAATCCGTAACCTTTTTTTTTCACCGAGGTCCTGAAAGCTCCATTGCTTGGACAAGTAAGGTGGAGTCATCGGTGAGATCAGAGTATCTGTCTGAAGACGACAGTTCGTTGGGTCGGCTGCTGCATTTTGAAGTGGACTCTGTTCTTTGAGAGGCTTCCCATCTCTCCGCAAGCCCATCTCCTTCCAGCATCCTAACCACTTCTGACATCTTCGGTCTGTGACCGGGCAGATACTGTGTGCATAACAATGCCACCTTCACCATCTCTTCTAACTCTATTCCATCGTAGTTCCCTTTCAAGTCCTTGTCCACGAGAACTTCCAGCTTCTTGTCTTGATGAATCTTCTTTACCTGTTGACAATAACCCCAAGTATCAGTCTCAAGTCTCAAAACCCGAACCCGAAACCGAATATATCCTGGTTTCTGCAGCTTTGGTGTGAGAAAGATGGAAACTTTGGTGTACCCATTCAAGCATTGCGCCTTTCTGGTTAGCTGCCTTGCTGAACTCTAGTGCCCGTTGCCCGGTTATGAGTTCGAGAAGAAGAATACCGAAGCCAAATACATCAGTTTTCTCAGACGACTGACCAGTGGAGAGATACTCCGGAGCAATGTGACCAACAGTTCCCCTTACCGCCGTCGTGACATGAGAATCTTGATGATCCAAGAGTTTGGCCAGTCCAAAATCACCCACCACTGCCTCACAGTAGTCATCGAGCAGGATATTCGCTGCTTTTACATCACGGTGTATTATCTTTGGATCGCATTGCTCGTGGAGATACACAAGCCCCCTTGCTGCTCCTATCGCTATTCTCTTCCTTGTGCTCCAATCCAGAACCGGTTTTCCTGTTGTGCCCACATAGAACTCGGGTTACAGTCCAAATCCAAAAGCCTTTCGAAACGAAAGATTCTTCAAGGAGGAGGAACGAAATACTCTCGATATACCTTTGAGGCGAGAAGCTACACTTCCATTAGACATATAAGGATAGACAAGAAGCTTCTCGGCCGGAGTGATGCAGAAACCAAAGAGTCTTAGGAGGTTGCGATGAACAGCTAGACTGATCATCTCGACCTCTGTCTGGAACTGAATCTCCCCTCCAAGGGCGTTTCCGTCTTTAAGCCTCTTCACGGCGACAACTGTACCGTCTGCCAGAATCCCCTTGTACACATTTCCATAGCCACCTTTTCCCAACAGGTTCTTGCTGCTGAAGTTATGCGTCGAAATCTGAAGTTCCCTGAAACTGAATCTCCTCAAGTTTCCGAGGGAAACTTCCTCATGATGCCCATCTGATCAAACAGATATAGCATCCACATGACTTGAAGTCAATCTCAAGATCCTTTAATATGTTCATGGATGAAGAAACAAAGAGAAATTTCTGACAAGATCAAACCTTTGACATCAAAGAATGTCCGTTGATGGCGTCTTTGCCTCCACCAAAGAAACAACCCGAAAACAAGGATGATAAAGGATACACTGGAGACGCTTGACCCGAAGACAATGGCCATTTTGTTTCTCTTATGACTCTCATTGTATAAAAGTGCTAAAAGAGAAACAGGCATAAGTTAGGATTAACATAACGAAGCTAGACTGGAATCTGACATGATTGAAGTTCGAAAACGAGGGGTTACCTCCTGTCTCGTTCAGGTTCATAGACATAGGCATTAAAGTGGTTCCATTGCAGTCGGGTTCGGCCCCCGTTGGGCATATCAGAGGGTTCCCAACAATGCTGCAACACAAAATGAAAATAGAAAAAGAAAGTATAATGAGTGGTGATCAGAGAGAGGAATACTAAGAGAGAGGGATTGATAGGGATTTACCTGAAAGTCTTGGCAGCAAATGATGGAACAGGACCGCTAAGATTGTTGTAAGACAAATCACTGAAACAATAAGATCCCAAACATGATGTCAATACCTTGTCTGAATCAGAGTAGTAGTAGAAATATTAGCCCGAATTGCTTGCTTGCAAATGCAAGTGAGAGATAGCTTACAGAAAGGCAAGTTGAGTCATATTAGCCAGTGACAAAGGAAAAGCCCCAGACAGAGAATTGTTGTTAAGCCTCCTATAGACAAAGTACAAAGTTCATCAAGAGCACAATTCTTTGAAGACACAAGAGATTCATCCATATAATAAAGAGTGTATGTCTGTTCTTACAGGTACTGCAGGCTTCTTAAGCGGCCTAGGGAAGACGGGATTTCGCCATGGAAGAAGTTATCAGACAAATCAAGTGTCTGAAGCTTTGTAAGCCGACCAAGTTCTGTTGGCAACCTTCCTGATATGTTGTTATTCTGCAACAACCTGCATAAGGATGAAAAAGAGTATAAACACAAGATCAAGCACCCTATACGAAAACATGAACAACAAATCCAATTCCCAGAAAAAAGTTCAATATTTATGAACAGTACTCACACAATCTGAAGATTGGTTAAGTTGCCAATGCTTGGAGACAATGTACCAGATAAACTCTGGCTCGGAGTACCCCTGCATTAAGTTCAGTTTCACTGAGAGATTGAGTCTTCTTTACACAAACTTGCGTGTCCATACATATACATATATGTGAGTTGTATACATGCCAACTTACAGGCTGATGACAAAATTCTCAGAAGAACAGGTGACCATAGTCCAACTACAAGGATCAACAGCATCTCTGTCCCAGCTTTCAAGAACACCATGAGGATCATTGAGGGAAGCTTTTATGTCCATCAAAGCTCGAACTGTTAAAACAAATCAACAAAAAGGAACCCCCCCCCCCCAATTGGTTAGCACGACGGGACACATTATACAGCAAGTAAACGTTACATCTGCAAGCTGAACACCGAGACAAAACTCTGTTTGAACAACAACTGAAACCGACAGCATGAGAAAACCCACTAATTCGGAAGAAATTCACCGACACTTATCACATAAGCCACCATTTTTTTTCTTCCATTTCGCTCGAGACATATAACAAACAGTTCATCTGCAGTCTCTGGTGTTCTGAACTAATTACAAAAGCCACCATTTTTTTCTTTGGATTGATGAAAAGCAGAGGGAGAAAAAATCGAAACTTTCTGCTGAATCACCTTCGAAGTTCACTCCTTGAGGGGAAAGCAATGCACTGGCAGAGCCCAGAAGCCATAAGAATCCAAAGAAACAAACAGAGAACCTTCTTATCATCACCACCACCATCAGTCTCGTCGTCTTCATCGCTGAAGCAGAGAAGATATGCCCAGTTGCCAAAAGCTTGGTGTACGAAGGGAAATGAAGCCAACGTTCCTAATTTTCTTCCGAAACTGGTTTCAAGAGCTAAACCCACTTCAAGAACAAGAAAACCCACGTCTGCTTCACTGGATGCTTTTCATGGCGGAAACCCACTTCGCCAGAAAGCATAATCTTTCTTCTTTTCTTTTAAAATATTATTTTTTTGTAATTTATGTGTCAGAAACAAGGGAAAATTAAAAGGAAAAAGGATGGCGAAAAAGAAATGCCAGATTCATTGGTAGTCTAAAGTGAAGTTTAGCATGCCTGTCGATAAAGCTTGTGTGGGGGAAGGCAAAAAAAATACATATTTATCTTTAAAAAAAAGTTAATTTAAAGATATGTAAATAATATATACATATATATATATATATATATATGCCCATATTTTGTTGAACGAGACAAAATAGTCAGTGAACCAAATCTATATCGTATTCAAAATGCAGGGGTAAAACGGGAAATTAGCAAACTATTCTTTGCTAGCTGCTAATTTGTCGTGTTTTTTGTCCATGGTTTTAGTTTTAGTTTTTTTTCTTTTTATATTTATTTACGTTAGACGATATTTTTCTGTGCTTTTTTCCAAGTGTGATTTTCTTGTTTTTTTTAAAACTATAATTTTGTTTATATTTATAATTAGAACTAAAATAAATATATATATATATATATGTGTGTGTGTCTATATATATATATATATATTAAAAGAGTGAGGGTCATGGGTTAGGCAAACGAGAAGAATATGGTGGAAATATAATTAAACCCGGATAACAACACTCATAAGACGTTAATGTCTAGGCTTAATATTATATAACACAATATATATATATATATATATATATATTACACTCACATGCACACACACACACATATATATATATATATATGGAATGTGAGAATATCGTAGCGAATATTATATGGAAAACGGGGTTAGCCACTCGATTTTCAGTATTTTTGTTCTTCTTGAATCTTGATAATACGTTTACAAACTTCTTCATGAATGTCTTGAAATATTAATTATCTAAATTAACATAACCGATCAATATAAATACTCCAACAAGTTAATATAACTTAATTAATACCACATAATCCTCCTATTGCCCGAAAGAGTATAGATATATAATAAAAATCATATTTATATGATAACATATTGAACCCATTGATGTATATAATTAACACTCTTTTTTTATATGTTTAATTTTCCAAATATTTCCTCTTTTTTTCTTTTCTTTTTCCCCTTTTGTATTACTTTGTATTATATTTTTTTAACTTTTGCAAATGGAAAATAAAAGATAGATTCTGTAACACTCAAGAGCTAAGGGTCCTATTTTTGCTTTCACCGTATAAATTCTATCGGAAAGAAAGACCGTCAAATTTCCAAAAGCCAAAGCTGCCCATTCCCTCCCCTTCACGATTTAATATAATTCAATTATTTTTGCTCTCACACAATTATAACTATTGTATCTTCTCGAAATATATATATATATATATATATATATATATTCATTGTATTGATGAGATATTAAGTATATGGTTATGGAAGCATATATGTTTATTGGCTTTAGAGAAAAAGGGTTAATGGGGGACAAAAGGACAGTGGCTTCTGCGGTGGATTTTTGTCATTGTCTTAATATTAATGTTACAATGTACTTTTCCTTTGTTTGATGTGTCTCATCTTTAGTGCCTTTAATTTCCCCCATAGATTGAACAAATGTGTAATTTCTATATATGTGTATATATATATATATATATATATCATTGATGTAATAACCAGGCACACCCACTCTATTGTATATCAAGATAAATATCATCATTTTTTTTATATAATTTAATTTATAACGTTTTAAAAAAGGTACTAAAATTTTGAAATAACATACATTCACACACTACGTTAGGAGCGATGATGAATTTCAGCTACCGTTGTTATAATAATTTTCTCAGGAGAATAAAACAACAAACATCCAAAAACTGCGTCGGTGCATTCTATATAATGTAATATATATATTGCAAATCAATAAATATATAAAAAAAAAATTAGGAACATAACATTCTTTGAAATGGAATATCCAACGAGAAAATATCAAAAGCCGTCATTTTGTCCGAACCGTGCGTCGTTTTCACGGCCAATCAGCGCCAATGAAACCACCAATGATACAAACGATGGACACGTGGCAAGTTATGATTCGTCTGTATTCCTACATTTAGCTTTGGGGGTTATAATGGTTCGGTAGATATACACAATGTGCTCCTGAGATCATATATATATATATATATATATGTATGTGAGCTTAGATTTTGTGCAACTAAATTCCTCACTCGTTGGAACGTGTCACGAAGCTTGTGTATGATTTTAAAATATATTTACATCATTCTAAAATTAATTAAAAACCGTTCACATCAATTTTATTATCCGATAATGTGTATATATATATACACACACACATATATGGCTGTGTACTTGTTTTATGTTTGAGTTGAGTTGTGTCATGAAAACACCTACTCCATTGTTTCCTTCTCTCTTAGATCTTTGTGTCTGTCTTTTTTTGTTTCAGCTTCACCTCCTCTGCAATCAAATGGAAATATATTACACTTTACTATAATATACATATATATATATATATATATATATATTACTATTTAAAGACATGTTTTCAAAAAGAGTATCTAAAGAAATTCAGCTATATTGTCTGACCAAATCTATATATGAATAGATGCTTATGTACTTATATATATATAGAGAGAGATATGTAAATGTCAGATTCTAATCTAATATTCTTGTTATTTTATTTGTCAATGAATGCATATATGAATTAGGGCATCCCATTAGTAAATCGACCTGGACGGATTCATCAGATTCAGATATTCTCGACCGATTTGTGCGTATATACATAAATCTTAAATACACATATCTAAAAATTCATTTCTAATTTTAATATAATAAAAGAATTGTACCAAACAAAAATGTTATATAAACTGTTTTTTATTCCCGAATCCGATGTTTATAGAATTATAATTATGTGGAATGTTTTGACCATGAGATATATTAACCAATATATCGGTAGAAAAAGTTAATAAAGTATCTATAATAATTGGAATCTTTTCCACTTTCACTCGTTTTAGAAAGTCGTAACGGATTTTGTGTTCCATGGATGATCAAGTACACCTAGACAACATTCAATCATAATGTTTCCATTCACATAATAGTGAAATTCGAAAGTTTAGTTGCATTTGGATAAAAATCACTTATTGATGTCGTTTTTTTTCCCTTTGTACTATGCATAATGATTGTAATTAATGTCATGTCGGTCCACGAATACGGCTTCGAAGGAGGCACTCCCCATCAGTTCTTGTGTTGTAACCTTCGATATGTTATATTATATACATATATATACACACACTCGTGGAGTATCGTCTGATATCCATATTCCACAAAAATATTTGAATTCAAGTTCAAAGTATTGATCTCAGCACACACACACACACACACATATATATATATATGTATATACACACGCCCTCACTGTATGCAATGAGGAAAAAAACATGTAATATTTGGTCCCAAGTTGGTGAGCGTGCTGACAGAATGATGACTGGTCACCCTTTTCTTTTCTTCTTCTTCTTTTCTTTTTTTTCTTTCCTTTTCCTTTTTCTTAGCTTTTTTCCCGGGAAAGTGACGGAAAGTTTGCTCCTTTAATCGCAGAGACAGAAAAGCACCATCAAGCATCTTGGGATCACCTCATGAACACTGAGGAGGACTCGTGGTCTAATAACCATTAACAGAGCCAATGCTACTTCACTTCCAACTTAATCAATGTGGACTTTGATAAATATATGCGTATATATATATATACACACACATATGCACATATATATTCATGGAGTTTAACAGCAACTAATCATAAGAGAGATGATGGCATCATCATCATCTTTATTTTTTTTGTTTGTTTTTGTTCTCATTTCCTGTGAAAAAAAACATATGATGTCATTTAGCTCCTCGTTGGATGAGGTACTCTGTTCTTTCTCTGTCAATCTCTGCAACAAAAAGAATCCCAATTCCAGAGGGGAATGCAACAATGAGAATGAACAAACAAACACGTATGGGACGTGACATGAATCTATCAAACTTCCAAAGTAAATTCCAAGCTCTGGAGCAAATATATCCAGAAAGAAAAAGATATGCCAAAGATGGGAAATTAGAACATGACAGCACAGCCAAGCAAAGGATGAAGGCATGATCCTAGTGGTCCTGTTGCTTCAATTATTGAGAGAAAAAAAACAGAACAAACAAACCTTGAACCCCTTTTGCTCCTCTCCTCACCCTCTTTGTTATTGCTGGAATCAGACACTGCAAGGACTTGACCATGGCATGATCAGAGAAGTTTCCAACTATACAAGTATGCACAACCAAGGATAACGATATCGAAAAATGGAGTAACCGACGGGATCTTGGCATATAATCAAAGACAAAGAATACTCTTAAACAAAGGATCTGCTTCTGCAGAGTTTAAATGTAGCAGACAATAACGAACATTGATAAAATATAGAAGAATTGAGTACCTTTTAACTTATTTTTCCAGTGCACCAAGCTGATGAAGATCTAACTGGTGTTACATGTGAAAAAAGGAACAGCAGAAACTTCACTGGCAAAAAAAGTTTTTTGAATTACATCCCCCAGAAACAAAAAAACTTGTTGAATAGCATGGCTGAGTATAACTAAGCTAAGAGCTAAGCAGCCAACGTTTTTTCTACACTACATTCACCAGGTTTCATGGAATTGAAGAGTTCTAGAACATCTGCGTGGCCACGGATATATTTTGGGCACATCGACAACAGATCTTGCGCCTCGCTATGCCTTCCAGACTTCAACATAGCTTCAAATACACGAATAACAATAGTAGTAGACGGAAACTTCTTCGAGGTCATAGCCTTGAGGAAAGCGAAAGCCTGGGCCCTTGATCCAGTTCTTGACACATAATCCACAAAGGGGTCAACAAAAGGGGGGAACCCGTGATCTTTCATCATTGGCAGAAGACTCAAAGCCTCCTCAAACCCACCATCTCTAGCCATTTTCTTCGTCAACAGATTCCTCACTAGAATCTTGTAGGTACTATGCCAAGGTTTCAATTGGTTTCCTTTAACAAGTGCAACGAAAAGTTTGTAGCCATCCCTTGTCTGGTTCTTGTTGCAATAAGCAAGTACCAACCTCTCGAATGTGTAACCAGCATAAGAGACCCCTTCTTTGCCAACCATATTCTTGAAACACTCCGAAGCTTGTTCGAGTTCCCCAGCATAACAGTGGCCTTCAACTAAAGATGCCAATGCCTTATCATCTAGATTGTTTCCCGAGGCTTCCATAAAGTTCTCGAGTTCTTTGGCTTCATCTTTCTTACCCTTGCGACTAAGCCCCGATGCAATGACACTCTGCAGGCCACCACCAGGAATGTAGCCCCCTTCCTTCATCACTTTCAGCACCTCATTGCTTTGGTCAAACCTATCAACACTTCTTATAGACTTGAGAACAGAATTCAGCATTGTATCCGTCAAAGCATTACCACTCTCGGTATAAGCTTTCACAACCCTAGAAAACAAACCCATTTCTAGTTCCTTGGCTGTAACAATTTTCTTGAGCAGCAGAATGCAGCAATGTGGGGTAGGAGTGTTTGAACCTGCCATAGCAAACTCGAACAACTCAACCGCTTCTTTTATCAGTTTAGTCTGGCAGAACCTTGCTGAAACCCTAGCATAAGTCTCCATTTCCATTTCATGACCAGCACCTCTCATTTCTTCAATGATGTTCCTAAACCTATCAAGGAATTTTTCCCTCCCCAAAACCCTAGCGATAGCATTGTAGGTCCCTTCGTCATGCTTAAAGAGGCCAGACTCATCAATCCACCTGAAAAACAACAAAGCTTTCCGAGGTTCCATGTCTAGCTTCTCCACTGCCATCTTCACCAATTCACTTTGAAACTCAACTTTCAAATCCCTAAGACGTTTCTCTACATCATCACTCCATTCTTCCTTCAACACAATCTTACAAACCCTATGGCAAACCTTTTCCGCTGAATTATCCATAGAACCCGATGCGAAAAGCTCCTTCAGCCTCTCCAAATCACCTTGCAGTCCATCTTTCTGAAACTTCTCACCCACTTTATCCCTAACATTAGCCGATACACCATATCCTTTCTTCTTCATATCAACAACCAAACCCCAAAACTCATCAACAAATCCATTAACACCCAGAATACGCAGCATCATGTTATACGATTTCGAGCTAAGTTTGGCAGCATCAGCCTCCGTAACCCACTGGAAAAACCTTTTCGCAGCATCAGGGCGGGACTGGAGCCCCCTCAAAACCTTCAACCCCAAATCATGGTTAATCACGATTCCACTCAAGTCCAACAATTTCTTAATCTCATCCTTATCGCTCAACCTGCTAAAAACGTCGATCACCGTAACATCATCGGAGGGCTTCACATCAATCGCAGGCTCGGACGAGAAGTTGCGACTCACCGATTTCACCAGACTGACAGAGCACGCCAATGGCGATTGCAACACAAGAGGTTGTTTGGTTTGCTCCAAAGCTCCATCCCCAGGCCGAGGGCGAAGGAAGGAAGAGAGAGATCGGAGCGAAATGGAGGTTACCTGAAAATGAGAAGAAGCAGACGGGTAAGGAAGATGAGAGCGCCGGTAGCTCCGATGAAGCAACAACCGCCATTGATGCCTCA